GCTACCGCTTGAGCCACATCCCCAGCCCCCCTATTCACTCTTACCACATAAGATTATGCAATGAAATAAATTAACAATGGAGATCTGTAACAGGGGAAAAAAGTGTTTTTTGTTCTGTTTTTTAACTTCTTTTATTGGTGCTTTAATGTTCCATTTCCTATTAGCTCAGGTTGTACCTCACAGCTTGCTCTGTAGTGTCACATCTTGTCTTTGAGTTTGCTTGCACATAACAAGGTGCACATAACAAGTAGTGATAAGATTTAAACTAACCCTTGTTGATTAAGTTGTAGGAATTTAAGAACACCCAAGGGGGGCCCTCTGTTTTTTTGACCAGGAGTAACCCTTTGCTAATTTTAGTCCTAAATTCTCCATCCAGAGGATGTTTGCACCTGCATAAGATAGGCCCACCTCTCCATGTGATAACATGCCTTTAAGTATCTGCAGGGGGGAGGCAGATGGTCTCTGTGGTGAGGGCCTCCGGTTCTTGGTCTTCTAGTTTCCACTAAAGACTGTTGCCCCCCCCCCCTCGCCCCCTGCACCTTGTCTGTCAAGTCTTTGGCAATCCAGCCCAAGTAGCCACATCTGGGTCCAGGATCAATTAGAAAGAATTGCCTCAAGAAATTCAAGCCATGCGCCTGGGGTTGTAGCTCAGTGGGAAAGCGCTTGCCTAGCTCGCTTAAGATCTTGGGATCCATCCCGACTTTGCAAAAAACAAACAAACAAACAAAAAACCAAACCAAACCCCCCTTAAGTCATTAGTCCCAAAGACTGCTTGGGGAAAGTAGGAATGACAGCAGTCTAGCAACCCACTCCCAAGGGAAGAAATGCCCCAAAGCTAGTGTCTCACTGATTATTATAGTTTTTAGGTGATTGCACATAATAACCATGTTGGTTTATTGGTTTCTTTGACTTACAGTTCAAATTGCCTTAATATTTGGTGCAAGGATATTAGACTATGTCTTCAATATGTGTGAAGGTAAATTTGATTTCCTCGAACGGCTCTCAGATGATTTGCTCCTGTATATCATTTCTTATCTGGATCTTGAAGACATTGCCAGGCTTTCTCAAACATCACGCAGATTTGCAAAGGTAACATTATTTTGTGTTTATGTGGAATTTTCCCTGCATTCTCCTGATACTTTTTTCTTTGATAGAACTTCGGATCCAACACCAGGGACTCACACCTGTGGGAAAGTGCACTTCCACTGAGCTCAGCCCCAGCCCTTCTATTTGCATTTATTTCAACAATGATTTGTTGAGTGCTGACTCTGTGATGGAACTTGTCCCAGGCACACAAGCAGCAGATGATGAAGCACTATGTCTACTCTTGAGAGATGTTCATGCAGATACAGGCCATTACAACACAGGGTGACAGAATACAAAGTGATGTCCTCTTCTGGCTTCATCCAAGTGGGTTACTTTATCTGGATTTTGATTGGAAATAGGAGTTTGACAGGGTGGTCAGGTTGACTGGGGACATTCCAAGGCAAGCAAGAGCTCAGGCAGAGATATGGTGGCTTAGCAGAAAAATGCGAGGTGTGACGGCCCCACATCCGCTCCTGTTCCCTGAGTCACAGCCTTTGCTGATTTACCTGTCTCCCAGTAGGTGGTTCTGCATGGCCACTGAGTGCTCCTTGTGCCCTTCCCCCAGGCTGCCCAGAGGGACCCCTGCTACTTTGAAACCTTACACAGAATGTACTCACCCTAGAACAGAACACAGTTGGTGCCACTTTCAGCCAGAGTCAGGACAAGATCTTTGGTTCTGTGGCTTCATCTGTTCCTTCAGTTCTAGACCCTCTCCCCACAGCCACACTCACTTTTCATTAAATCCCTGCTTGGCCTAAGTTAATCAGAATCGGAGACTGTTGCTTGTATTGGAAGAAACTTGATGAGCTGGGTGTTTAGCTGTGAAGCATGGGGTAGTGTCCRTTTTCAAAAGAACATACAACGTTTTCCAAGATGATTCAGACCATAATCTTGCCTAAAATTCAACATTTTTTCACAGTTCAATTTCTTGATTATTAAAATTCTTTTAAAATTATATAATCTGWATTATTTACAATACATAATTTCTTTTTTTTGTTTGTTTGTTTGTGGGGCTGGGATTGAACCCAGAGCCTTGTCATTCGAGGCAAGCAGTCTACCAACTGAGCTATATCCCCAGCCCCTTACATAATTTCTTTAGAGTATAGAAATATATATATTTATATGCATATGCATGTATATATATTTTAACTTGATCTACCCCCTAAAAATAGAGGGCCAGAAACAAGTATTAAGAGTAATCATYGGGCTGGGGTTGTGGCTTAGTGATAGAGCACTGGCCTAGCACGTTCGAGGCCCTGGGTTYGATCCTCAGCACCACATAAAAATAAATAAATAAAATAAAGTATTGTATCCAACTACAACTAAAAAATAAATATTARAAAAAGATTCTTTTAAAAAAAGAGTAATCATAATTGTGTGTGTGTGCGTGTGTGTGTGATACTGGGGGTTGAACCAGGGGGCACTCTACCACTGAGCTATGTCCCCATCCCTTTTTATATTTTTATTTTGAGACAAGTTCTCACTAAGTTGCCCAGGCTGGCTTGAATTTGCCACCTCCTTGCCTTAGCCTCTCAAGTCGCTAGGATTACAGGTGTGCATGGGGCCCACCTTTTCTTTTTCCCATTAAGTAAAAGTTCATTAAAGTTGAGAGGTTACACTTGCTGCTGGTAAGAAGCTGCTTAAGATTAGAGACTCTTAAGTAAATAAAATACCCTGGTGGGGGTCTGCTAAAAGATTCTGCCAGGCCTGGGTTTGCTCCTGGAGGGGAGGGAGTGGGGGAAAGAGCCAGCCCCGGCTCCCCTCCAAGTTCAACTCACTTCCCCTCTCACTCCCTCCTTCACGCTCTGCCATTAGCCTCGTCTTGGAAACGTCCTCCGTAATTCTACTTTATGGCCAGGCTTCGGTGTCCTTGCAGAGCAGAATTATCAGGAGACAGCCCGGGCGCAGGGCTGYGGCACTTTTCCTTCTGTGTGATGTGAACCCTGTGTCTCTGTCGTCAAGCTGAGTTTTATCTGGGTTCCATTTTCCTGCTGTGTCCCTTCATTTATCAATTATTTTCATTTAGCTACTTATATTCATGAAAAAAAATTATTACCAAATTGGGTAAGACGTTTCCTCTGCTCTCAGGGACGGGCAGCTCTTGTATTCAAGGTCAGCCCTCAGGCCTGGCTCCAGGGTCCAGCCGGACCTCACTTATCTCCTGTCTCTTCTGTTTGTTGTTCAGCTCCCTCAGGGGCTTCTCCAGTGTCACATCTTACACAACCATTTGTTGCAAGTAAGCAACGATACCATTAGTTAAAGTACACATTATTTGGATTTCATCAGTTTTTCTCCTAATGTGTTTTCACTGTTTCAGAATCCAATTGCATTTAAACTCACATTATTTATTTATTTTTTAAAAAATATTTTTTTTTAGCTAACCGTGGGCACAATATCTTTATTTTGTTTATTTATTTTTATGTGGTGCTGAGGATTGAACCCAGGGTCTCACACATGCGAGGCGAGTGCTCTACCCCTGAGCCACAACCCCAGCCCCATTTATTTATTTATTTATGTTTTTGAGACAGGGTCTTGCTAAGTTGCTAACGGCCTCACTAAGTTGTTGAGGCTGGTTTTGAACCCGTGATTCTCCTGCCTCAGCCTCCCAAATAGTGGGATACAGTTATTTATCACCACACCCAGCTTTTTAGTTTGAATTTTTAACTCTTGTGTGTGTGTTGCGGGGGCGGGTACTGGGGATTGAACTCAGGGGCACTCAACCACTGGGCTACCTCTGAAGCTCTATTTTATATTTTATTTAGAGACAGGGTCTCAATGAGTGCCTAGTGCCTCCTTTTTGCTGAGGCTGCTTTGAACTCCTGATCCTCCTGCCTCARCCTCCTGAGCTGCTGAGATTACAGGAGTAGGTTACCCCATGGGTTTTTAACTCTTACTYTATTATTTTTTCCCTCTCTGTACATTAATTTTCTCAAATCAGCCTCATCCTTCGGAAGACTATAGTAGGACTAAGTTTCCACCCTCTTAGTACCTCACATTTCCACAAGCCATATCCAAACATTGCTATCACGCAGCGTTGCTCCCTTCTCTAGGGGTATCCTCCTGGACCTCCACCCTGACCTCCCAGATGGCCTTCAAGTGATATTTGTACTAACATGCCCCAGCTCAAGGGTGAGATGGTATCACTGAAGTCTGTACATTCCTCTAGCAGAGTGCCTAGCCCAGAGTCAGCTCCCAGGATGTGGTCCCCAATGCTTCCATAGACGGGCAGCTGTGTCCATTCTGTTTATATTTTGAAAAAGAAAATTGATTTGTATTACAGTGGTCAGATCAGAAATGTTTGAAAGTTATACAGCCTTGTATGTAGAACAAACAGTCATTCTTTCCATTTCTAACTCTCATTCCTTATTCTCATCTGTAGTGGCTACCATATGACCCATGGTCTGTATGTCCTTCTGTATACACATAAGCATGTGTGTGAGATATTTGAATACAGAAAGGTTTCCAAGACCAAACCTGACTCCATAGTGAAGAATTACCTGGGAAGTGTAAAGTCACGCTCAAGACCTGAATTGTGTGGGGTCCTTGGGGTGTAAGGGGGCCCTGGTTCTTGAGAGTCATGGTGCCAGCCCACAGGGGAGGAGGGAAGTATCCACTTGTCATACTCACTGCCACCAGCAATCAGAATCATCAACTGCCTGCCCTTTCTCTGATTCCATGTTAACTAAGCCCCATGGGTGTGTCCATGGATGAGCACCTGAAGATTGAGTAGGTCTGATGGCTATATTTTTCAGTGAAAAATTCTCTGAGAGCTTGGCTAACACCAGTTTGCCCTGAAAGGGGAGTCCAGTGTCTTGGTACATTGGAAAGGCAGAGTTCCATGCCTGTCTGACTGAGACCCAGCAAGTTGGACAAGATGTGTGGGCACACGCCTGGTAGCCTGCTGTCTGACCCACCCCCCGGGGGGGCGGGGGGGGGGGCAGCAGGCCTTTTTCTGCCATCTCTAACAGAGCTGACCTGTAGAAAGCTCTGGTGTAGCTCACAGGGAAAGAACAGTCATAGTGGGGGTATAATTATAACCATCTTGCTTGTGGCTCAGGAATCACTGTGACACTCAGGGAGGAAGAAATGTCTCCCTGATACTTTTTGGCTGTGAAAAGACAGATTTTTCCTTGTGTCCAGCAACTCCCTGTGAACATGATTCCCAAATCTGGGCCCAGCAGGGGCAGCACCTAGGAAATAGATGCAAATATCGGTGCTATGTCTAAACCTAATCTGGAAGGTCTGTGCAATCCCATTCTAAGGGCTCAGCCCAAGAATTTGACTGGAATTCGTGAAGATAATTTGATTTTTGTTTGTTTTTGTAATGGAGGGATACGCTACCACTGAGCTACATCCTCAGTCCTTTTTGTTTATTTTTTATTTTGAGACAAGATTTCACTAAGTTGCTGAGGCTGACCTCGAACTTGCCTCAGGCTCTTGAGTTGCTGGGATTACTGGCATGCATGCACCAAAGTGCCCAGTTTATCAATTGATTTTTGAATTGTATAGATAAAATATCTCTGCTGGGGATGTGACCCAGTGCTAGCTGGGTTCAGTTCCCTGCATTCCCATCCCCAAAGAAAATGTCTCAAGACTAAATAAAAGGCTAGAATCTCATGGGCTGTTGTTCATGTCTTCACCTAGCACAGCATTGTGGTGTATTTAAATCAGCCTTAGAAGCCAGGTCCTATGATGCACGCTGGTAATCCCAGCTCCTCGGGGAGGCTGAAGCAAGAGGTACAAAAGTTCAAGGCCAGCCTGGGCGACTTAGTGAGACCCTGTCTCAAAATAAGAAATAAAAAGAGCTGGGGGGAAAATTCAATGGTAGAACACCCCTGGGATCAATTCCAGTACCCCCCCCCCAAAAAAAAGAAAGAAAGAAAGAAAAATCATTAATTTATTCAATCAATCATTTAATCAGCTCTAGGTCAGAGAGCTAGGTTCTTTTCTTAGCTCCTCCCCACCATACGCTTTGGACAGCCAAAGTCCCCCCCCCCCCCAGGGCCAGACAGCAGGCTACCAGGCGTGTGCCCACACATCTTTGCTTTCTCAACCGGTTTTCCCATCTGAAGGAGAGTTTGAACAAGAGGGTTTTTATAAGCCCTAGGATTCCTTTCAATAGTTCATGGATGTCAACTTCATGCACCACCACCAGGGGGCAGTAGGCCCACGATTGTGTGTTTAAGAGCAAAGTGACTAGAGCCACAGGCTGGGTACCTGCTTTTTAAGCCCTGCAAACTGCCAGATAAAACATCTCCAGAGTTTGGGAGTCTTTGTTGAAGGCATTTTACAGACATATTTATAAAACCTAATATATTTCAGTCTTAAATCTGATGAGCCATAAATGAAGTTACTCTAGTGGCAAATTTAACTGTTTTGAAATTCTTTCCTTTGACCCCAGACCTTGTTGTTGTCTCTCATAATCTCTATTATGCAAGACACACTGATATCCTGAAATGTATTGTGCTAGTAATGGCTAGGTCATCTGTATTTGTGGTGGAGTTGGAGTTTAGATCTTTGAAAGGTAGTGTAGGCCATCCGTTTTGTTTTTTGATATTGAGACATTTCCTAAGAGTTTTCACCTATTTATGTTTAGATTACGTAATCTGAGTGGAGAAATTCAAACTTGAAGGACTGTTGAAGGTCGGATAAGATAATGAATGGCCCGCCTGACCTCAAAATGTTATGGGGACTGTAAATATATGATTTGACGTCACTGTTTAACAATAACCTTCATTATGTGGAGGTACTAGCTCCGCAGAAAGTATCTTAAGCAATTATGCTCTGCGACTCTCTTCACTCTGACTGTAATTCATTCTTTCCCCTTATCTGAGTACTTTTAGAGTGCACGGCGTATAAAAGGATGCTGGCTGCTCTCTGTTGAAAGTGGGAGTAATGGTGTAGGAAGTGGAGATAACACTTGTAGGTTCTTCCTCTTCAGGAAGAAGCCGAGATGAGTGGGCACACAGCATGGCCAGGTGCTGGTTGGTGTGGGTGAGATGCAGGCAGTTTTGGGATTGGGGGTTGCACAGAGAGGTGGGAGGGGCCGGCTAGGCCCCCTTAGAGAAGATCATCTCTGGGATTCACGTGGCGTTGCAGTTTGGAAGGACAGGCAGAGATAGCAACAGGCAGAGCAGGGAAGAAGCAGGCACAGAGTTCAGCTCCCATGAATAGGTGGTATGTATGTGTGTGTGTGTGTGTGGGGGGGCAATTGCAGGCTTTCATCCCAGAGTCTAGGACAGTTTGGCTTTCCATAGGGGCATTGAGGCCTCCCACCCAGCATGGCCTCTGCAGTGTTTGGGGCCTGTGCCTGAGCTGCAGTGCTGCTCCTTCGACATGCATGCTCTCCTCCCCTCCACTGGCTTGGGCTAGTAGCTCAGTGGAACATCTGTGATGGGGGCTGTGTCTTATGACAGTATGGGTGAGTCCAGTTGTCTTCAGTCTGGTCTCTATGATCTACAGGGATTGGACATTCTAGAACTCTCTGAAATAAGGGTCAAAATTGTAATTGATACAAGACTTTGTTTGAATTTACCTTACTTTTTTTTTTTTTTTTTTTTTTTTTTAGGATTTGGGCTCTTTAGTTCTATTCTATCTTTACATCTATTCCATCATCAGCACATTGCATTGTAATTCTTTCACTGTGGATCTATTTTCTTCAGTATTCTCTTGGCATCCCACATGGCTAACAAATACAGGTTCTAAAGGATTGTCTTTGATGGAAGGAGGACAGACAGATGATTTGGTACTTCACACTTTCAAATTCATCTACATGATGAATTGGACAAAAGAAGGTCTATTTCCTGGTCTTAAATTCTGTGAACAAAAGTGAATCAGTCACATTAGTCATTGTCCACCAATATGTGGCTCACTGACATACCTGTATTTGTATTTGACTTCTAATTTTCCATCCTGTGAATTGATGGCTGTTCCTGACCTCCCAGACTCCAAGTCATAGCAACTGAAGGCTGAATTTCCACCTGGAAGCCAACAGCCTTCGGGGCCTTTCTTTCTAGTGTCTTCTGGTAGCATGCTGTTCTCTCCCCCCTTCCTGCTCATTGATGGTATATATTCCTGGGGCTTTACATATGCTATCAATAATCCCCTCAGCAGTAAAGGTTTATTATTGTTTCTGTGTCATCACAGTAACTCCTGTTTATTGAATGGCTACTGTGTACTAGGCTCTGAAAGTACATAAGCTGAGGTAATTCTCATAGCAGCTCTGTGGGATGTGTAGGGGTTCTCTTGTCCTGATTTTTAGAGGAGGCAATAGGAGCTGAGTTGAAGTTCACAGGTATGAAGCAATGGAGACAGCTATGGAGCAGTCTCACTCCAAGGCTGACTTTTTTTTTGTTTGTTTTTTTCCCCAGTACTGGAAAGTGAACCCAGGACCTCACACATGTGGGACAGGTGCTGCATCGCTAAGCTATATCCTCAGCCCTGCTGATGTTCTTAAATCACTATATTCTGCTATTTAGATGGCCAAATGGAGGATCAGATATGGTGCCAGACGCAGAGAAATTTAATACATCCAGGATTACTTTATTAAGTGGCAGGGCTGGAATTCAAATATATTTGCTAGTTAACTTGTCTGTGTTGGTACCTTGAGAATATAGGGGAAAGTTCAGTCTTCTAAGAGGGAGTTAAACCCGAGAAGGTAGCCAGGCATGGTGGTGCACAGCTGTAATCGAAACTACTTGGAAAGCTGAGGCAGGAGAATCACAAGTTCAAGACCAGTATCAGCTATCAGCCACTTAATAAGACCCTGTCTCAAAATAAATAAATAAATAGATAGATAGAAAGGGCTGGGGGTGTAGCTCAGTGGTAAATCACCCCTGCAGTCTTTTTTTTTCTTTTTAAATAATTTATTTATTTATTTTTTTGGCGGACACAACGTCTTTGTATGTGGTGCTGAGGATCAAACCCGGGTCACACGCATGCCAGGTGAGCGCGCTACCGCTTGAGCCACATCCCCAGCCCCTCACCCCTGCATTCTATCCTCAGTTCAACGGAAGCAAAAAAGCATGGGGGTATATTTGTTGCCTCGTAGACAAGGGCTGCACCTTTGATAACTGCCTAAGTGTTATCTTCCTGGGGCCCGTGGAAGCTTCCATGAACAGGGGCATGGAAATGCAGTCCTCACTCCTCCTTCTGCTCTTCCAGCAAGGTTCCTCTAAGGAGTTCTCTGTCCTTGCTCTTCTGCTCTTCTTTCTACCTTGAACTCTGKAGCTAGATGTTCGTCCCCACTGTGCCAATGAACTGACGCCTGTCAAAGTTGCTGTTGTACATCATCTTGCAAAGCACACAGTCAGGTCTTCAGTGTTTGTTTGTTCCCAGGGCTGGGAGTCAGACTCAGGGCCTGAGAGTGCTGGGGTGCTCAATGCCGAGCCATCCCAGCTCCCAGCAGTCAGTTCTCAGTTCCTCTCTTGATTGACTTTTCAGTTGCATTTGACATTTTGATTACTTTCCAGATCTTCTTTTTTTCTCAGTTTTCCTTGTTGAGGACTTTGCCACTTCCTGGGTGCTTCATGTGGAATGTCGTGGAAAGCTTCCTCAGACCATCTTCTCTATCTTCAGGCACACAGAGAGGATGGCACCTGATCCAGGGCTTTAAATACCATTGCCACTGAGCACCCTCAGACATGTCCAGTCCACGCTGGACTCCTTCCTTACTGTGAATCTAACTGCAAGCTCAGTAACCCCACTTAGATATATTACAGACATTTTGAATTTAACAGGTCAAAACCAGACCAGATCTCTTGATTTCCCTACACACTTACCTATTTACACCACGTCGACCTCTCTCATAGCCCTATTTTTCCCAGTCATTGACGTCACTAATTTTGCTCAAGCCAAAAAACTCATCCTGAATTCTCTATCCTGGTACAAATGATTTAATTCATTAGCAAGTCTGTGTGTGTGTGTGTGTGTGTGTGTGTGTGTGTGTGTGTGTGTTGGGTGGTACTGGGGACTGAATCCAGGGGCACTTAACCAGTGAGCCACATCGCCAGCCCCACCCCCCCTTTTTTTTTGAGACAGTCTCACTAAGTTACTTAGGGCCTCACTAAGTTGCTGAGGCTGGTCTTGAACTTGGCCATCCTCCTGCCTCAGCTTCCCAAGTTGCTGGGAACACTGCACCTAACAAGAGGCKGTCTCTTGAGGTGGAACTCGTGCCCGACACACCTTCCTGCACACGAAGGCAGCAGGGGTTTGATGGTGACCATGTGGGTGAGTGAATGACTTGCCTTAGCCCGTGTGTGCTGTGACCCACCTCTGGCTCTCTCCACCCGCAGCTGTGCACGTCTGATATTCTGTGGGAGCAGATAGTGCAATCCTCCTGTGACACCATCACTTCCGACATGAGGGCCCTGGCAGAGGACATAGGCTGGAGACACCTGTTCTTCACCAACAAGCTCCAGCTGCAGCGGCAGCTCCGCAAGAGGAAACAAACGCACGACAGCCTCGGAGAGAATCAGCTGTTTTAGGGACACCTTTTGCTGCCGGCAGGAAGCTCTGAGGCACCTCTGTGCTTCTCTTCGGGGTCCAAATCTTAAGAACAACGTTCCACTGATCTCAGGGTCTTTCGAAAAGAAAAGAGGATTTGTACACAAATGCAGAACTTGGCCACCCAGGGCCCTGCTGGAACCACCACCCCTGTTACACGGAGGACCAGGTTGTGGCCCTGGAACAAGGAGGTCAAGATAAGGAAGCTTTGCAGGTCTCTGTCTTCCCAACCCCGACGGTGCTCAGAACAGACACTGTGCTGTACATCAACAAGCAATAAATGGTCATCAGCAAGTTTTATTATATCTATTGTATGTAAGATCTGAACGAGTGACTGGACTCTTGAATTTTTTCCTGGTGTTGTGTCATCTGAGTTGTCACTGGGTCAGAGGTCCTAGAGCGGTCCTGAAAAGGAGGTGGTTGTCACTGGGACAGGGGTCTTACAGAGGTCCTGAAAGGGGAGTGGACCTCAACTCAGCCTGTGAGGGTCCCCTCTGGCAAATCAGAAAGGAACTTAAAGGATGGGTCACAGTGAGGGGCAAACTGGTTTTCTTAAGACAATGCAAGGTGTGCACGTTCTCGGGGTTGGTAGGGCGCGGGCACTGGCGAGGAACTGCTAGTCCCCCGAGCGACAGGTGTATACGTGTAAGATCTATGGTACACAGGCCTCCTCTGTGTGCGTCACTTGACATGCTAAATCATTACATCTCTGGGTTGTTTTTTTTCTGTTTTTGAAGAAAAATCTCTATTCATTTCCTCACCTGGGGGTTTCATCGTTGTGCTTTTCGAATTTTAACAGGATGACATTTGTGTGGCATTGAAGGTTCTATGGAGAGTGTGACATGGGGATGAAGTCATCAGATCTTAAAAATAGAAACCACAGGAAAGCCTATTTGTTGAGCAAAGCCCTCTCAGTCCTGTTTTTTGTTTTCTTTTGGTTTATGTGTTTTTTTTTTTTAGGTCTAAGTCAGGAGAGAAGTTATTTATGGACTACCGATAAGGTCTGATAATTGATTTCAGTGTTGTTTATGAACCAAGTATATGGAATTGAAATTTAAATCTGGGGTTTTAAATCACGTAAAAGTGGACTTAAGTGATGGCTACTGTCACTTCCTCCCATGTCTCCCTAGCTGTCCCCCTGCCTCCTATCCTACCTCAGCCCACGGTCGAGTAGGTGGCTGGGTGTCCCCACTGAGAATTCAGGGCCAGGGGCTGGGGGAGGCGCTCTAGGTAAGTGCCTTCTCAGTTTCGTTCCACTGGGTTTGAATTCTGTCTGATGTCCGTATGATCTTGTATAACACCCTCCTGCCTGAGGAGCGTAGGCGAGTTTGGGAGCAAGCTAGAAATTGTGCTGATGAGGTACATCAGACCTCCCCGGCCCATCCTATTGGCACTGAAGCAGCCCCCRATCGGGAGCCCAACTGGGATTATAATTATCTTGGAGGAGTAACTAGTAGAAAGAAATTCATTACTTGCCTCATGGCAGGACTTAGAAAGGCAGCCCATAAGGCTATCAATTATGAAAAGCTCCAGGAAATCATCTAAGATAAGAATGAAACCCTTCAGCATTTTCAGACGCCTGACCAAGGCTTTATTACAATATACCAACCTGGACCCCGAGGCTCCAGATGGGAGACAACGGCTAATGACCTACCTTTTCCCCCAGAGTTTCCCTGACATTAAGGCCAAACTAAGGTGCCTCAAGAGGGGTCCCTGACTCCCTAAGCTGAGGTACTGGGAGTGGCCTTTAAGGGTATAACGGGAGAGACAAGAAGGTCTGGAAGCAGAAATATCAGATGCTGGCTCAAGCCATCGGCCTAGCCTCAGCCTCTGTCCCTGGTCCCACTGCTCCATGGTAGGGTCACTCAGGACTGCCCGGACCCTGTTTTAAATGTGGTCAGATGAGTCACTAAGCTTGGACCTGTCCCAAGCCTTGAAAGCCTCCGGGCCCTTGTCCTAAATGCCATCAGGAGGGACAATGGGGCATTGACTGTCTCTGGTCCCATAGCAGCCCCCGGCCATCCAGCCCTTCTGGTTCCCCTTTCCGACTCTCAGGACTGACCGCTGAGGACTAACGAGGCCCAGGTCCTCACCACCCGACCACTACCATCACTCCGTGGGAAACCAGGTAACTCTGTACTTCAGGTGGGCCTCTCTCCTTCCTTCTGGACACCAGGGCTACATATTCAGCCCTCAAGGAGTTCTGGGGACCTACTGCCAACTCTTACAGACACCCAGCCTTATTTGCACTTTTGGATCTCTAATTTTTGCCCACTCCTTTTTGGTCATTCCACAGTGCCCTGTTCCCCTTATGGGAAGGGACATCCTCACAAAGTTGGGGGCTATGCTCTCCTTCTCCCCTCATACTCGCTTCCATCCAGACTCACCCGATGCTCCTCTGATCCTCACCCTGACCTTAGGACCACCCCCTATTCCGTCTGCCAGTGCCTCCCATTACCCCTTCCAAGGTGGACCCTACTGTCTGGGATGTATCAAGTCCTTCTGTCACTCACACCACGAGCCCGTTCACATCCATTTCAGAACCCCCTTCATTTTCTGCCCAATCACAACACCCGATCTCCCTCCTTGGTGCTGCTGTCCCTCTCCTTTTGCAGAGCAGCCTCGTCGGGCTCCTGACAATAAACCCGTTTCCTACCCCAGGTGTGTGTGTGTGTGTGTGTGTGTGTGATTGGTCCTGCGCCACTTTTCTCCCATTGGTGCCAGGGACTCGATCGTGTTCTCCTATCAGCTTTGCTCTCCCCTCCAGGGATGTGAGCTGCTTTGGGATCCTGAAGGCCCAGGCCAATGACCCCATACCTTCTTCCATTCACCTAGCACTCTTCTTCTTCATCCACGCTCTGGCCTCATTTGGGTGAGTGACTTGGCCCTTCCCCTCTCCTCCTCCTCACCAGTCTACTCCCTAGAAACAAGCCTCCTCTCTAGAACTTAGATCTTGGCCCAGCACCAAGATTTTCGCCCATCCCTTCCTCTTGGTGAGTTTACTCCACTTGCCACGGGGAACTCCCAATCCCCTTCCCTTGGTGAGTTCACTCAGCTCCTCAGCAGAGCTCATGAAAGCCCTGGCCAGGCCACCAAGACTCTCTTCAGGCAAAGCCCAGGACTAGGGAAGTAGCAGGTGATTCCCTTCTCTCAGTCCCAGACTCCAACCCGCCATGGGGAACGCCCAAATCCCATGCGACTCACCTCTGGGCTGCCTCCTCACCCCCTTAGCCCCGTTCTGTTTGGCTCCTGATCTAAAGGCTCATCGACCCGTTCGACCTTCCAATCTTCCTAACTTTTGCGAGAGCATTCAGGAAAATGGAAGGAAATCCCTATGTACTACTTGCCACTCAAGCTCTGGATTCCTCCAGAGACCCTACTTCTAGACAAACAAGGGACCCAGAACCCTCCTCCATTGTAAAGCCCTGGGCAGCAATCTCCCTGGCCAAGGCCACACTGAAGCTAACATTGAAATACAAAGGACAGACTCAGCAGGCTTGATAAGAGGCCTAAGGGGAAAAAAGTGTCAATTAACTTGTCTCTGGCTACAACACAGAAGAATGGCTTCAAAACTTTTTCCTCTCTCTATCTCCCTGATCTCACACTCCCATTTCACCTTTACATGGCTAAAAAGCAGGGATTTGCTCCAGGGGTCCTTGGACACACGCTGGGGCCAACCTTTGCCCTGTGGCTTCTCTACCAAAGGTCTTGAGCCTACTGTTGGGGGATGGGCCCCTTGCCTCTCTACTCATTAACAAGTTAAAGAAATTCACTTTTGGGGCCTCACTCACCATCCTGGCTCCCCATCACCTTAAGGAACTCCTCACCTACAAGGGCTTACATTCCTTACCCCCCTGTCGCCTTTTCTCTACAGGCTCCCTGGTGCAAGATCCCCTCCAGTCTTACCTTCCACCCGTGCTCACTTTTAAACCCCGCTCCTCTCCTCCCCGCTCCTCAGGACTCTTCTACCTCTTCTCCTCTCACCCATTCATGCATGCAAACTCTGGAGGAGCTTCTTCCACATCCCTCCCACATACAGGAAGCCCCTTGCTGCAGGCAACAGGCTCATGGTTCACAGATGGCTCCTCCTTCCTTCGGGAGGGAGTCCCTGGGGCAGGGGATGCTACAGTCTCTCTCACCCAGGTTGTGGAAGCGGCTCCCCTCCCCCAAATACGTCCAATCAGCAGGCTGAACTTGTAGCCCTCATCAGGGCCTTCACTTTGGCAAAGGGAGTCAATGTCTACGGGACGCAATGTCTACACTGACTCTAAATACGCCTTCCGCCTACTTCTCTCCCACTCTGCTATTTGGAAAGAGCCGGATTCCTTGCCACCAAGGGAACTTCAATTACTAATGTCCCCTTTATCTCCAGTCTCCTTCAGGCCTCAAAGCTTCCCACTGCCATGGGAACTGAAGGATGGCAGCTAAGTAACCCCTTCTGCAGTGGGCACTTCCTTTCCTGACCTCTCTCCTTTCATAGACCTTTGGTCAAGCTTGCCCCCCTGGGTCATTAGATTTATTCAAAACCAGATTCAAAGGATCGATCTCTAACCAAACCGTGAGCCACCTTCTGTGGCAGGACGTCCAACCCCTCACTAAAAATGGGCCGTATGGAGTCAGCATCGCCCAGTACCTCCTGACCCTCACCATGGCCTCAATGACACCCTGCCCCCCTGACAAGGGTCCAGACTCAGCCCCTTCCCAGCAGGAAGAAGCTACAGGAGATTGATCTACACCCCTGTCCCTTAAGGGGCCCAATAACAAAGAAAAAAGAGGGCAATGTAAGGTCCTGGCTTAGCATCTGGATGGCCATCTTAAGTGACAGCTGCCATTTTAAGAAAAATTTCACTTTCCTGTCCAAGGGCRTTTCTGAGAAAGGCTCTCCACTCCCTCACACCAACCCCACCCTTAACCCCACATTAGCGCCCACCCAAGTCTGATCCCTGAGCCTGCCCCATAAAAGTCCCCAACCCCAAGCCTG